AACCAGAAAATTATTTTGCTCTTAATTATCCGGTCAAGCGAGTTATCCATCTTCTGTGGAACTTACTGCAAGTAAATTTCGCTCGATACTGTTACTTTTATCGTATTCTCTAGAAATAGTTTATAAACCGACGGCTAACGTGTTTCCGGAGTAAAGCAATCACAATGAACATTTTCAGCTGAAGCCCACTCAACCTAAACAACTTGTTAAAATGTTAAAACCGTCCGAACAAAAACTCCATTCAAAAAATTGGTCTAAAGAGTGTAGACAGTACTTCCCTCGCTGTCGGAAACTTGACGACTGCATGCCTATTGTGTTTTTTTTCTCATTACATTTTTGTAGTGGGTATTTAAAAAAAAATTGCGATGACGTCATCAACATTTTTGCAAGGACACGTATATCAGTTGGGACAGATGTAGTGTAATACTAAGAATAAAATTATTATATTCTCAAATTTTCGGGAAAATGAATTGGGTCGTTTTGAATATTGATTTGTAATAATCAATAAAATAACGAAACAATTTACTCACGTATACGTATCAGAGGCAACTGAAAATCGTGTATGTATAAACATTCTTAATTTAAGATGACAGGCGTAACAGCATACGTGAGAGTCAAACAGAGAAACTGTAAACAAAACGACCATCGGTTTTATTGCTTCGACTTCCGCTTATTATATAAAACATTGGGTTTTATTTTAATTCTTGACGGTGAAATTCACAATTGGTTGATTATAAACATGTCTATTTCACATTCGCGGAACCACGTGAACGCATAAAACAAATGCAGGTCTGTAATGTTAAAGTCGATGTGAATAAGCGTGCTACCCTTATGTTTCAACCCAGTTTTTCCTTTAACAAATTTTGTGTCTACCAAATTGGGTTGGTTGGGGTGTAATACTAATAATAAGTGTTGCCTTTAATTTAATCAATAAAATAAATTGACTTCATTAATTTTTTTGAACCACCTCTTAAGAAAATCTAAAAAATATGAATGAAATGATAAATCACAAGTACAAACTCATCATATTTTTTGCATTTTAGATAGGATTTATTCAGCAAAATTTAAGGGTGACGTCATCAATTTTTTTAGGAGGGATGAACAAATACATTTTGAACAAAAGTTTACCATGCTTATAATAACTTTAAAATATTCCCAAGATTTCAAAGCATTCGGTTTTGTAATTCCTGATTAAATCGATAAAATAAATTCACGCCTTCATTAATTTTTTTGAGTCACCCTGCATATGCAAATCCAAAAATATGAATGGAATGATAAATCACAAGTACAGACTCATCATATTTTGTACATTTTAGATACGATTTATTCGGCAAACTTTTGAGCTGACGTCATCAGTTTTTTGTAGAAGATAACCAAATATATTTTGACTAAAAATTTATTATGCTCTTTATAACCTTAAAACATCTGCAAGATTTCAAAGCATTCGGTTTTGTAGTTCCTGATTAAATCAATAAAATAAATTTACGCATTCATTAATTTTTTGAGTCACCCTGTATATGCAAATCGAAAAAATTTGAATGGAATGATAAATCACAAGAAGAGATTCACCATGTTTTGTACATTTTAGATAGGATTTATTCAGCAAAATTTTGTGGTGACGTCATAAATTTTTTAGGGGGGACGACCAAATACATTTTGATCAAAAATTTACCATGCTTATGATAATTTTAAAATATCTTCAAGATTTCGAAGCATTCGGTTTTGTAGTTCCTGAGTAAATCAGTAAAACAAATTTACGCTTTCATTTATTTTTTTGAATCACCCTGTATATGCAAATCCAAAAAATATGAATGGAGTGATAGATCACAAGTACAGACTCATCATATTTTGTACATTTTAGATAGGATTTATTCGGCAAATTTTCGAGCTGACGTCATCAAGTTTTTGGAGGGGATAAGCAAATATATTTTGATTAAACATTTATTATGCTCTTTATAACCTTAAAACATCTGCAAAATGTCAGAGCATTCCGTTTTGTAGTTCCCGATTAAATCAATAAAATATATTTACGCATTCATTAATTTTTTTGAGTCACTCTGTATATGCAAATCCAAAAAATATGAATGGAGTGATAAATGACAAGTACAGGCTCATCATATTTTGTACATTTTAGATATGATTTATTCGGCAAACTTTCGAGCTGACGTCATCAAGTTTTTGGATGGGATAAGCAAATATATTCTGACTAAACATTTATTATGCTCTTTATGACCTTAAAACATCTGCAAGATTTCAGAGCATTCGGTTTTGTAGTTCCTGATTAAATCAATAAAATATATTTACGCATTCATTAATTTTTTTGAGTCACCCTGTATATGCAAATCCAAAAAATATGAATGGAGTGATATATCACAAGTACAGACTCATCATATTTTGTACGTTTTAGATATGATTTATTCCACAAACTTTTGAGCTGACGTCATCAAGTTTTTGGAGGGGATAAGCAAATATTTTTTGACTAAAGATTTATGATGCTCTTTATAGCCTTAAAACATCTGCAACATTTCAAAGCATTCTGGTTAGCAGATTAAAAATTAAATTTCAAAATATTGTTTTATAATTTTGATTTTTTTTCCAAAAATCTGGACGTTTCGGGTGAAAAGTCGATTGTGTTGTAAACTACATGTGTAGGACTATGCTATTTTATACAATTGAAAACCCATTTACTATGTACAATTTTGAAGTGACGTCATCGCATTAGTGGTGGGGATGATTAGACAAATTTTGGTTAGCGTTTTACCATCTACATGATATTCTTAATATAAGTACAAAATTTCACAACAATCGGTCGAGTACTTTCGGAGATTATCTGTCTAATAAAAATCCGGGACAACAGACGGACAGACGGACAGACGGACAGACAGACGGAAATGGGAGACCTATTTCTTCGTCTTCTAGGGGTCATGAAAGATCGAGAAAACGTAAAAGTAGAGAGTCGGCCGACGGACTCGATTACAATACTTCCTTTGCTTACGCTCGGGAAGTAAAAAATTTCAGCTAGTCCTTTTTCTCGATTTCGCTTCCAAACTTCCACCATTTGGAACATCTTCCTCGGCACGCAATATGTGACACATCAACTGCTCGCACCTCCCGTCATCCTCTTTTTTTAGCAATTACCGAACGCTTCAGGAATAAAATTGGCGCGCAATCAATAAAAATCCACATCCCGGAAATGAAGTGAACGTCGACTGCAGGCACACACACAGCATCGTGTGTCTCTGCCGCAAGGACAGCCAACGTTGCGCAAACCGTTGCACAAGCTGACATATTGCACGTTTGCCAACCGAATAAAAATGCCCCCCGACAAAAGCGCCAAACGCAAATCCAGCGAAATGTACGCAGACGAGCCGCCGTATCGACACCGACCATTCTCGCAGCCTTGCCTTGCACCTGCTCATTTGCTTAATTAATGCACGTATGTACCTAGAAATGTGCAATTATAAAACCGTTCCATTGTGATTGGTCGCTGCATGAATCAAATGACAATTCTCAATTAATCGCGACGCTCTCATTGGACGATTGTGCGTCTTGTGCCAACGCTGCCACGGGTTCTTTCTCATGCTAATTTGGACGGTTCGCGAGTGCTGGAAGTGACCAAGAGGGGCTTTTTTGGGGCCTCTGGATTTTTGGCTGCGAAATAATGTTGCATGGACTTTTATGCCCGCCGGAAATAAAAACTAACATAAATATTAGCTTCGGGAATTATATTAACAACATATAAGTGGTAATGAATTAGCTGTCAACGAAGGAATGAAAATACCACTCGTAAATCACGATCCCTAATGCCTGATTTGCGCCATTCGGATTATTTGAACATCTATCTACAAGAGCACCGAGTTAGTTGCGTTATCCATAACAACAGAGGATGACACGATAATTAATTTTCTTTGTACTTGAAGAAAATACCAGATACGGCAAAAAAAGACCTACTTTTTTGTTTCTAGGAACTAAGAAATGTCCTGAAATCATTCACCAAATGGGCTATATCACAGTTCACACTATCTTTGTGTACCATTACAATTTTATAGCGGTTGTTACACTCACTTAGACCAACACCAGCAAATTTCAGAGGTGTATTTAGAAAAATAAATTAATTTCATAATGTTGAAAGTCCACTACAAACCTGCATCTAAACAAAAAACAAAATTTAATATTTTATCGTTTATAAGACCTTTAGAGACACCTCTTTTAAATTCATTAATTCATTAATTAAAATTTTATTACTAGTCAAAAATAATGTCTGACAACAAAAAAGGAAAACGGCCATCAATATCACATACTTTCTCAATGGGTTGTATTTTAACGATGAAACTGAGATTTTTATGTTCAATTAAAGGAAAAGACTAAATTAATGATATCAAACAAAGATAACGATCTAATTATTAAATCAGAGTAATTTTTTTCAGGAATGTGAATTCTCGTTTGTAGTTAATTTAGCTTTGAGAATAATTTTAATTTGATATAAGACAAGAGAGGGTGGGTGGGCGGGGCTAGAACCTGCTAAGATAAGAGTGATTTTGGCAAATGAGATACTGTTTACAAAAACAGGTCAGGTCAGAATTTTCCAAAAATAGAACACAAAAAGTTTCTAAAATTATTTTAAATGATTTACAAAAAAAAAATCTCCATGGGCAAAAAAAACACCATGGGTATCTAAGAGTCTCCCGAATGAAAAGAAAAAACACTGGGACACTCAAACTTTTTCAAATTCGTAAAAAATACAATACCAAAAGTTTAATCACAAAACTGAAATATTTCAGTTGATCCTTGTCGAAAAATGGTAGAAGCTATCGGAGAAATGAGGCTGAACCAACTTCTAGAGGTTGAAATCTATAAAAAAAGTTTGCTTTCAAAAATTTGCCGAAGAATTTGCAAAAAATTCGGGAACACAGATTTAGTCGTGCTGATTCCAAAAACGCAGTTTAAGTAGATGATTTTGAAAACATTTTTTTTTAAATTCAAAAAATTTCAAATTTCAGTAGGCGATTCTGGAAAAATGGTAGGAGCTATCGAAAAATGAGGCCGAAACTAACTTCTAAAATATTCTGGAAGACCGATTTCGGCGAACGTAATCGAAATATACAGCACATTGATAATCCCGACAGTATCACCGCAACTCCAGGAGAATTAGGCAGCCAAAAATTATAAAAAAAATCTTGTTCACCTAGTAAAGATACGGCTATCAGGTAAAATCATTCAAAGTCGATATTACAGCCGGTTTTCGAAATATGTATTCGCTTTCAAACTCGAAACTTTAAAAGAAGTATCTCAAAATTTGTTACATTTCATTTTGACACTTCCGAGAAAAACATTTTTTCGAATTGAAGCCGCAAAACTAGAAGTCGAAATCAAAGCAAGAAATTTTTTGTTAATTTTGGCATTGCTCGGGAAAAGTTCAAAAACATCACATATGGTATTGAAAAATTCACAAAAAATTCTGGAAAACAAATTTCGACGAGGTACATGCAAAAATATTTTCAAATTTGTCAGACTTACCTTATTTTTATGATTCCAGAAAACGTGTAGGAAATCAACAAAAGAAATGCTTGTGGTAATTTTTGAAGGAATTGGAAGGTCAAAAATTTTACATATTGATGGTCCCGGACTAAAATTACAACTCCGGAAAAACTCTTTACGTAGGAAAGATACGTCTATCAGGTAAAATAATGCAAAGACGAATCGACTTCTAGATTTCGAAATATTCGTTTTCAAATTAAAAATTTTAAAATACCTTAAAATTTTTCACATTTCATTTCGAGGATATCGGAAAACTGGTAGAAATTTTCCAAGAAATCAAGCCGGGAAAAACTTCCAAAGGCCGAAATCAACAAAAAACATTTTGATGTTAATTTTGTCGCTCAAAAACATACTGAAGAATTGAACTTCTGACGAAGTTGTCTTAAAATCCACAAAAAATTCTAGGAGCTAAAAAAATTCGTGTTGATCCCGAAGAAAGATTGCAGACGAACATCTTAAATCAATGGGTTGTATTTTAACAATGAAACCGAGATTTTTATATACAATTAATGGAAAAGACTAAATTAATGATATCAAACAAAGATAACGATCTAATTATATTAAATCAGAGTAATTTTTTTCAGGAATGTGAATTCTCGTTTGTAGTTAATTTAGCTTTGAGAATAATTTTAATTTGATACGTAAGCAAAAAAATGCATGATTTTGGCAAATGGCATACCCTATAAGACAAGAGAGGGTGGGTGGGCGGGGCTAGAACCTGCTAAGATAAGAGTGATTTTGGCAAATGAGATACTGTTTACAAAAACAGGTCAGGTCAGAATTTTCCAAAAATAGAACACAAAAAGTTTCTAAAATTATTTTAAATGATTTACAAAAAAAAATCTCCATGGGCAAAAAAAACACCAAGGGTATCTAAGAGTCTCCCGAATGAAAAGAAAAAACACTGGGCCACTCAAAACTTTTTCAAATTCGTAAAAAATAAAATACCAAAAGTTTAATCACAAAACTGAAATATTTCAGTTGATCCTTGTCGAAAAATGGTAGAAGCCATCGGAGAAATGAGGCTGAACCAACTTCTAGAGGCTGAAATCTATAAAAAAATCTTTTTGGTTAAATTTCGAAAACTGTCGAAAATTGGTTGAAAAAATTTTGCTTTCAAAAATTTGCCGAAGAATTTGCAAAAAATTCGGGAACACAGATTTAGTCGTGCTGATTCCAAAAACGCAGTTTAAGTAGAAGATTTTGAAAACATTTTTTTTTTAATTCAAAAAATTTCAAATTTCAGTAGGCGATTCTGGAAAAATGGTAGGAGCTATCGAAAAATGAGGCCGAAACTAACTGCTAAAATATTCTGGAAGACCGATTTCGGCGAACGTAATCGAAATATACAGCACATTGATATCCCGACAGTATCACCGCAACTCCAGGAGAATTAGGCAGCCAAAAATTATAAAAAAAATCTTGTTCACCTAGTAAAGATACGTCTATCAGGTAAAATCATTCAAAGTCGATATTACAGCCGGTTTTCGAAATATGTATTCGCTTTCAAACTCGAAATTTTAAAAGAAGTATCTCAAAATTTGTTACATTGCATTTTGACACTTCCGAGAAAAACATTTTTTCGAATTGAAGCCGCAAAACTAGAAGTCGAAATCAACGCAAGAAATTTTTTGTTAATTTTGGCATTGCTCGGGAAAAGTTCAAAAACATCACATATGGTATTGAAAAATTCACAAAAAATTCTGGAAAACAAATTTCGACGAGGTACATGCGAAAATATTTTCAAATTTGTCAGACTTACCTTATTTTTATGATTCCAGGAAACGTGTAGGAAATCAACAAAAGAAATGCTTGTGGTAATTTTTGAAGGAATTGGAAGGTCAAAAATTTTACAAATTGATGGTCCCGGACTAAAATTACAACTCCGGAAAAACTCTTTTTACGTAGGAAAGATACGTCTATCAGGTAAAATAATGCAAAGACGAATCGACTTCTAGATTTCGAAATATTAAAATACCTTAAAATTGTTTACATTTCATTTCGAGGATATCGGAAAACTGGTAGAAATTTTCCAAGAAATCAAGCCGGGAAAAAGGCCGAAATCAACAAAAGACATTTTGATGTTAATTTTGTCGCTCAAAAACATACTGAAGAATTGAACTTCTGACGAACTTGTCTAAAAATCCACAAAAAATTCTAGGAGCTAAAAAAATTCGTGTTGATCCCGAAGAAAGATTGCAGACGAACATCTTAAATCAATGGGTTGTATTTTAACGATGAAACCGAGATTTTTATATGCAATTAAAGGAAAAGACTAAATTAATGATATCAAACAAAGATAACGATCTAATTATTAAATCAGAGTAATTTTTTTTAGGAATGTGAATTCTCGTTTGTAATTAATTTAGCTTTGAAAATAATTTTAATTTGACATGTAAGGAAAAAAATGCATGATTTTGGCACATCACATACCCTGTAAGAAAAGAGAGGGTGGGTGGGCGGGGCTAGTACCTGCTAAGATAAAAGTGTAAAAACATTTTTTTTTTGACGAATAATTAGACCACAACTTCTTGTATTGCTATACTTAAGTTCAGTTGATTTGTACAATTGGTTCTCAAGATATTTAGCGACCCTGTATATCTATAGAATCTACAAATTTCAATATTTGCCGAACATGAGGTTTGCTTCTTGGAAGAAATCCTGCATCAATAAATTTCCAACAAAACATTTTTTTCTGTGTCTGTGTCTCCTTGATAAACAAAATTTGATTTAATTCATTTTCGACAAATATCTGAAAAAAGATTACTGCTACATGAGTAACTGAAGGTGAACTTAAAAAAAAAAAACGATATCATATAACTAAAATAATAACAGAAAATAATCCCCGTTTCTTCGCGAGACCGAATAAGTGTGAAAACTAAAGCGAATGAGCGTTTTCGCAAAAATAATATTGTATCTTTTGATTTTTTCATTTTTATATTTTTCACAGAATGGTACTTCAACATCTAGTCTTTTGCTTCTTTACTATACAACAAAAAACTAATTTCCATTATCATGTTCAAAAACAGTAAAAATGTACCTTCTAGAATCAGTTTAGCATGACTTAACCTGACTTGATACGACAAAATCTGATGTCATCTGATTTGATATAGCATGACCTGACTTGATGACTTGACTGGACTGACCTGATCAGACTTAGTTCCATCTGACATGACCTGACTTGGCCTGATTTGATCCGATCTGACCTAATCTGACTTCTTGGAATCAAACTTTTAGTTCATTCAAAGCTTTTGCCCACAGAAATTATTAAAATTATCACCATTATCAGCACCCAATGATCTTCTCATTCCCACCTGGCTTAACGTGGCCTGGCAAGACTTGATCTGATTGAACTAAGCAAGACTTCACTTGATATGACTTAAGCAAGACCTGACCTGACATGGCTTGGTTGGGCTGACGTGACTTGGTTTCGTTTGACCTGAGTTCATCGAATCTGCCTGATTGGAATTTAATATTTTTCAATTCATTCAAACTTAAGAATAGGTTTTTAAGAGTACTCATATAAGTTCCACTTTATTAAATCTTAAGTTCAGAAAATAATCCCAGTTTCTTCGCGAGACCAAAAAGTGTGAAAACTAAAGCGAATGAGCGTTTTCGCAAAAATAATATTGTATCTTTTGATTTTTATATTTTTCACAGAATGGTACTTCAACATCTAGTCTTTTTCTTCTTTAATATACAACAAAAAACTAATTTCTATTATCATGTTCAAAAACAGTAAAAATGTAGCTTCTAGAATCAATTTGGCATGACTTAACCTGACTTGATACGACAAAATCTGATGTCATCTGATTTGATATAGCATGACCTGACTTGATGACTTGACTGGACTGACCTGATCAGATTTAGTTCCATCTGACATGACCTGACTTGGCCTGATTTGATCCGATCTGACCTAATCTGACTTCTTAGAATCAAACTTTTTTAGTTCATTAAAAGCTTTTGTCCATAGAAATTATTATTAAAATTATCACCGGTATCAGCACCCAATGATCTTCTCATTCCCACCTGGCTTAACGTGACCTGGCAAGACCTGACCTGACATGACTTGGCTGGACTGAGGTGACTTGGTCTCGTCGGACCTGAGTTCATCTAATCTGCCTGATTGGAATTTAATATTTTTCAATTCATTCAGACTTAAGAATAGTTTTTTAAGAGTACTTACATAAGTTCCACTTTATCAAATCTTAAGTTCAGAAAATCCTTCAAGTTTTTCGTGAAATAGTTACCTGGTGGTTCATAAACACTGATTTTCTTATTCTAACCTGACCGGACATGACCTGACAAAAACTGACCAGATATACTTAGTCTTCATCTGGTATAACTTTATTCGACTGACCTGACCTGACTTGGTTTTGACCTGACATGACCTGATTTACCCCCACCTTACAAGATCGATATCGCGTTTCCATCTGGATTCAAAAACCGCTTTTCAAATTCAAATGGGCGTAATTCATTGAGGCTCCTCCTTCCGGTATACAACATAGCTTTTTAGACCATTTTCCGAAAGAATTGACCACTTAAAAATCATGAAAAATTTAGGAGACTTTTGAGCCCCGGTTCTTATTACTAAGATTCCAATCGAATTATACCAGGTGTCTGGAAAATGGAAAAAAAGAGAATACGTCATTTGCCTGCTTTTCTTTAGAGGGTATGTCATTTGCCAAAACCGGTCTTACTTTAGCAGCTGCTAGCCCCGCCCACCCACCCTCTCTTTTCTTAGAGGGTATGTCATTTGCCAAAATCAGTTTTATCTTAGCAGGTACTAGCCCCGCCCACCCACCCTCTCTTTTCTTAGAGGGTATGTCATTTGCCAAAATCAGTTTATCTTAGCTGGTACTAAGCCCGCCCTCTCTTTTCTTAGAAGGCATGTCATTTGCCAATATTAGTCTTATCATAGCAGTTACTAGCCCCGCCCACCCACCCTCTCCTTTTTTAGAGGGTATCTCATTTGCCAAAATCAGTTTTATTTTAGCAGGTACTAGCCCCGCGCACCCACCCTCTCTTTTCTTAGAAGGTATCTCATTTGCCAAAATCAGTCTTATCTTAGAAGTACTAGCCCCGCCCACCCACCCTCTCATTTCTTAGGTGCGTGCAGTGTTGCCAATTTTACTTTTATAAAATTACGTTTTTTTCGTAATCTACATCGTAAAGAATTGTTTCATTATCTTTTTGGGACTCCCGAAACCCCCGTACATAACGTACTGAAGTGTTAATTCGCCATTTTCCAGACACCCGGTATAAGTCCATTAAAGCGAGATGGTCTGAAGTTGTCAAAAAGCTGAAATGGTTTAAACTACTCGGTTGTTTGAAGCTTTTTAATCCCACCACTGAGTTGTCAAGCCAAATTTTTGATCCATTTAGTATCGGGGGAGGCATATCGGACGGTGTCAATTTCCGAAAAATCAAAAAATCAAAAAAAAGTCAGGAAAAATGGAGGACCTATTTTCAGAAAGACACGATTTGGTCAGACCGAGGTGTGAACGCGCATAAACTTAAAAATAATTTATTTTTGAGCAGCACATATGTCCGACTTGATTAAATCTGAATCTCAGAAAATCCCTCAAGTTTTTCCTTAAATAATTAGCGGGTGATTCATTGGCCAGTAGAGTCTTACTTCACCTATATAAATTATTACTAATATTATCACCATCAACACGAATTGATGTTTTCATAAGTAAGACTTCACCTGATATGACTTGATTGGACTGACCTGACTTGGCTTGATTTCTCATTTGTCACTGGACTGACCTGACAAGACCTGGCCTGACATGACTTAGCAAGATCTGATCTGATATGACTTAACAAGACCTGACTTGATATGACTGGACTGGACTGACCTGATCTGTCTTCGCTACGTCTGACATGACTTGACTTGGTCTGTTTCACCTAACCAGACTTACAATAGTTTTTTCTGAAGCAATACATGACTTTTTAAATTTTAACCTCAGAAAATTTCTGAAGATTTTCATGTAATAATTAGCTGATGGCTCATCGGCCAATACAGTTTTCCATCCATACATATTGTAATTAAAATTATCTGACCTTCTCATTCTAAGCTGACCTGATTTGAATTAGCAAGATCTAACTTGATATGCCTTGCCTGACCTCGTATGACCTGACTTTGCCTGATTTCACCTAACCTGACTTATTGGAATTAAACTTAAAAAAAACCTTACCTGACATGACTTAGCAAGACCTGACTTGGCCTGATTTGACCCGATTTGACCTAACCTGATTTATTAAGACTAACTCTTTGTTTATAACCAACACATACGTCCGACTTTATTCAATCTTAAGCTCAGAAAATCTTCAAGTTCTTCATTCAATAAGTAGTGATTTATACGACCAGCACATTTTTAGCAGCTGAGATCTTCCTGCTTATAAATGATTAAATTATCACCACTGTCATCAGGAATCAATCTTCTCATTCTGCGTACGGAACTCGTCTTCCCGAGGCAGAAAAAATGGGCCATTTGCATTACGATTTGTCAGTCCCGACGTGCAGCTTTTAAATTCTGCAGCAGAAATCTGCATGCATAAAGTGGACATCGCATTTCCATTTGCCGCTTGCACCGATTTATTTATAAAAAAATTATCGACCGTTCGTATGCGTCTCTCCGTATCGCCGATGCTCGTCGTGGCATTCGTCTAAGGAATTTTTCGTCGTTGGTATGACAATAATAAAGCGAACGCATGCGGACGTGTACGCTATTTCCCTTCGAAAAAGGGATTGTCCATGAATATTCACGAAACTCTATCTCTAGCAATGAATGCAGATGGCATGTCCACTTGTCACATGCATATAATACGCCACTATTATTAATAGTCTGCTGCAATTCACTGACAAGAGTTGAATTTCTAAATATGCATCATGTTGCAAACGTATGGCCGATAGATAGCTAAATTGTTTGTTATCCTTGGACGAGAATGGAGATGCTCGGGCGTGGGACGAAAAAATATTAATGTGGAGTAGATGTTATGACACGAATGCAAATTGCGCATCTACACTCGGGTCGGGGGAACGGTTTAGAGAGTTTATGAGGCAACATGTCGCCGACGAGATGGGCGCTCTAGAATGTGGGACAGAGTGGTCGAAAATGGTCTCTCATCGCGGCAACTTGTACATTTTATGGATGCTGGTATCGAGGATAATTCAGTCATGGTCGTTGAGGTGGAAATTGCATCGACGAAAGTTCACTTCAAGTTGTGAAAGTTTTCTTCCAAAACTCGCGTTCAAAATACATCTTGTTAACTTTTTTTCTTAAAGAGTTAATCTACATTTTGAAATAGTGACG